TGAGGCAGTTGTGATCTGCAACTACATCCCAAACTGGACCTTTAAAAGTTCTTCATATGTTATATAAAATCCTAATTCGTAAACTAGTAACTATACAGGAATCTGTAGTGGAGTAAAAAGTACAATATTTCTCTCCGAAATGTAGTAGAGTATAGAGTGTAAGTGTAAGTACAGTACAGTACTTGAGTAAATGTACTTAGTTACATTGTACTGCCTTCTGGTCTTCCTTTGTAGTATTTCCAAGGTCATGGCCATTGTTGGAAGCTGCAAGGGGAAGTAGCTTTTCCTATTTCTGCTTTACAGGCTTAAAAACATTGCTTTAACTGAACACAGCAGTGGAGTTATATTCAGTTATATAGTCAGTTTTTCTGTCCGCTTCCAGTGACAGTGTTGTCTGACCTTCACGACATCAGCTTTTATGAGTGTTGTTTTACATTTGTGCAGTAGGTCTTAAAGGAATGACAGTTATGTGTTTAAGACAGCCTGTCCACATGCCATTGCGCGCGTGTGTGTGTTTGTGTGTGCCACTGGAGTTTTTTCCATCGGTTTACAAAGATAACTCTCTTTAGACAAATATAACACTCAAAGACACACATGGAGTCCTGTGTAGGTATGCAGTCAGTCAACACACTCATCACACATAAATCAACCCGACACGTTCTCAGAAAGGACACGTGCAACGCACACAATGTCAGCCCCACACTTATTTTAGGTTGCATGTTTTTTCCACACTAACAGGAAGACATGCAGTCAGATTGATAACCTGTAACTGAATCGGACGTTTCATAGAGACCAAGGCTGCTCTGGAATACATAACCAATAAATAAATGATAAAAAATGAGATTAAGAATTCAAACAAGCATTTCAGAGTTTCTATAACTGATGCCGAACGATGTGGTAGATACCGAAAAGTACTGAGTTTCAATACCCAACCCCGTAAGTGAGGGGAGAACTTTATGAAGAACTCCAGTCCAGCAATAAATGATCAACCTTCACTTAAAGTAACTATATACTAGGGGTGTGTATCTCTCGCTTCTGAAACGATCCGATTCGCATCTAGATACATGGGCTACAATACAATATGATGCCATCGGATACAGTTCTTAACATTTGATTAGATATTCATTTTCCATTCTAAATTAAAATAGGGCAATTCAATAAAAGTGACATTGCTTACCTTCAAATACAAAAGTTTATACAATACCAGGGAATCCCAAGTATGTTTTTCTTAATGAAATGGGAAAAAATGGAAGACAAATGTCTTCTCTGTCATTTGAAAATTACATGTCATTGTCTTTAGAGCTTTTTTTCAACAGACACAAAAAAGAAATTACAAGAAAATATTAAGATTTGTCGTGCTTACAATGGCTAGATGTTTGTCCAACTGTCCTTCCCTCTGATAGAATCCAAATGTCTTTCAAACTTTAGGTTTTAGATTTGATGGTGCACTGTTAATCGTGTCGGCATTGTCGTGTGTAAACATGTTTGTTTATGTTACCAACGAGCCCTGTTGTGCTAATATTACTCTCGTCACTCTTGTTGCGAGAACCTCGTGTTGACCTTTTACCTTTCACGAGCGTGGAGACGCTGTTAGCAGCAAAGCTTCAGTCAACCATTGCATAACTTTGGGTGCCCGGTTAGCTCAGTTGGTAGAGCTGGTGTCCCATGTACTGAGGAAGAGTCCTTGCTGCAGCGGCCTGGGTTTGAATCCGACCTGCAGCCCTTTGCTGCGTGTCATCCCCTCTCTCTGCCCCCCCTTCCCTGTCTATCTTCAGCTGTCACTATTATAAAGGCAATTAAAAAAAAGCCCCAAAAAATATTTTTAAAAAAACAAAATAAAACCATTGCATAACTTTAGAATCGGACCATCAACCGGTTCATGGTACATTTAGATCAATCCAAGGGTTCGCGTACCGATGTAATCACATCTATTGTGTTAAAACCGACTTCTGACTCATATCGGTACATCTTTCTACCCCTACTATATACAATACACACACAAACAAACTGTGAAAAGTGTAGTGTAGGAAGGAGCCTCTGTATGATTGGTAGTGGTAGTGTTGTGCTCTTGAGAGGCAGCTGGACTCGCAAGATCAAAAGATCCCTCAAGAATGCATCTTGCCAGGCTTCAAGCTATGTGTCCAACCACGGTGGTTCAGACCAATCAGCATCCTATGAGGAACAACTGGCAGCTACAGGATGAGCTACAGGCTAACACTAGGTGTGTGTGGCGGCCTGTGTGAGAAGTGACTGTTTGCTTGAAAACAACAATGTTGGCTGCTAAAGAGGTTAACGTAGATGCCGCTGTGGTTCTGTGTTAACAAACCATCTGGCACAGTCAGGTCGGTGGTATTTAGTCCCTCAAGCACCAAAAACACTGGATCCAACATTTCCCATAATGCAGCTCAACTTCCTTCATTAGACTAGAATGCATATATAACCCTAACCCTAACCCCTGATGACATCATTGGGGTCATTTTCTTAGACATTAGACCTACAATTAGACATGACAACTATTTCCACAGGTTGAATAGTACAGCCCATGACAAGAAAATAGAGCTTCATGTATAACATTAGTGGGGCTCTCCAACTGGGTCAATAATAAAGACCGATGTGTTTATGGTTGTCCTTGACAACTTTATGGGTGCACTTAAAAGACAGAACATGTTGTCAGAACAGGCACTGAGCCAAGAGCAGAGGGGGCAACACCTGTAGTGGGCCCTTGGACAGCCTATAGGCTGGGACGGCAGATCGGAGAGAAATGCAGATTACATTGATGTGTTCTATTTCACCACCATGGACATACTTAATACTTTTAAAATGGCACCAAAACATGCTGGAATCACTTGACCTTACATTTTGTTAAGAAACATATTTATTGTATCACAGATAGGAACCTCATCTCCCTGTTCTTTATTTTATAGTCTATACTATTTCCAAACATCTGGATTAACATCCAAAGGGGAAGCCGAGCCTTCAGCCACAGTGACAGGATTAGGATTTTGGAATGACTGAAAGATATTCAAGATTATCACAATAATGGAAAAAGGAAAGTTATGGTGATGCGCAATAATATCGTATACGGTGCCGTCCCTGAACACAACTCTTGCTATTTCAGAACCATGATCAGATAAAGGATTGAAAAAGTCAGATTAAACTAGCGAGCATTCAGCATTTGACATTCCGCAATGCTGGATGGCCATATTGCCACACAGCCATATTGCACAACAGGTGACAGGTGGGGAGGACAGGAGGAAAACCAACCCAGGACAGCATGTTACAATATGTTACACTAGTTGGCTACTTATTTCTGCTTATTTACATTCAATGAAAAGTGTGCAACACCTTCATACAAATCATCAGTCTACAGACCACTTTGTACAAGATGATCCACACAACAGGCCGCAGTGCTCTTTGCTGCGTACCTCCGAGACCCCCTTGGCTGTGATGAGGGCTCCTCTCTGGCCTGTGGAAGACTGAGTCTGACTTTTTATAGTTTGATTTAATAGTAGTTTACATATATCATTTTATATAGTGCTTATATGTTATCTAAACTTTAAAAATAACTATTTCATTTAATTTTCTTCAAAGAAATGAATGAAATGCTGAAATAAAAAACTATAAACTATAAAGTTTACCCACACCCCTTAAAAAAGATATATGTATGGTATGGCAGTCAAATTTTAGAAATCATGACTATGTCATAATTTATTTTATTTGTTAGTTTATTTAAGGACAGTACAGATACATAGAGAGGGAAAAACAATGCAACAGGTGTAATGTATCGTGGGTGTGTAGCTGAAGCTAATTTGGAGTCCCCTTCCTTTGTAGGCCTTTAAATCCAGGTTAAAAACAAATAAGTGCATATTATTCAGGATAATATGGTTTGAAGGAATGGTTTTGCACACAGGCAAAAACATTTTTGTTCAAGGCCAATAAATATCTGATTTCTGATTTCCTGGATTATACACAATCACAGGGAAATAACGACAGTAAATATCTCACACAGAGAAACAAGTTTACATTGTATAGGTATTGAATGTGAGATGTGATTTCTGAAAGAAAAATTTTATAACCACAGTGAACAGCTTGCATTGGAGAAGCCTGTTTCTCTGAACTACAACTATATGCACATACAGACAACAAACAACACACACACACACACACACACACACACACACACACACACACACACACCAGGGCTGGCAATGCTGTGACCTCTCAGAGTGAGTGTGAGACTTATTGATGACTGATGAAAGAGACCTGTTAAGCCTGGGTTGTAAATAATTGTGAGGCATGCAGGGTCAGCTCAGTGACAACATGCATCTTGACAACCAGCTGGGGCTGTTTTTGCCGCTTTGATGGTATCTACATTCTGTACACTCTAGTACAACCTATATATGCAGTATTGTTGTAGGCCAAAATAATGGCAATACACAATGTTATCACAACATTCATAATTAATAATGTAAAATATAAATCTTAGTACTTTTAAAATGGCACTAAATGCTGGAATCACTTTACCTTACATTTTGTTAAGAAACACATGTATTTATTGCATCACAGATAGGCACCTCATCTCCCTGTTCTTTATTTTGGAATCTATATTCTATATTCTATATATCTATATTTCCATGCATCCAGTTTAACCTTTTTTGTGGGACACGCAACGTGCAAGCTGAGCCCTCAGCCATTAGGATTTTGGAATGACTGGAAAGATGCGGGCTCACCCTTATCCTCTTGTTCAAAATAAATCAGGGAATCAATATAATAGTGTATAGTAGTTGTGTGGCTGCTCTACTGCTGTTGTAGACATGATGTTTTAATCCTGGTTGATAACCTATTTACTAGTATATTTACCTTTTAAATGTCCCTGACTGAACTACACATGTATGGCAGCATTGTAGTTTTTTTGTAGATCTGAGATAAATATTTCTAGCCAACAGAAGTTAGATCTTGTGGGGTCCGTATGGTTTTTGACAGTCTAATCTACCTTGCAGGTGGGTCATCCCCTCTGGCAGCAACGGTGGACTACAATTCCCTAATTCTTCACCTACAATGTTCCTGTGGGCAGGAAGTAAAGCAACAGATGGACAACATGACCGCAGGTATTGAGTACTGCCTTGCTCAGTTAGTGTTAATGTGAATGTGAATTAATATAGAAAAGGCTACATTTAGTTTTCTGTGACCAAATTTGTATTGGCTTTCAATTTACATTCATTATGGAGGATCATAGACAACACATTAAAATATTGTGATGACATGGCATAACATCACTATGGTAATCCTATGTGCATACATTAGTTTACATTCACATAGTGACATCAAAATGACTATAATAATAAACAGTGTAAGTAATACAGAAGGGAGAAGATAAACACATTGATGTGCCATTAAAAAACTTTTAACTGAAATTCAATAACTTGAACTCCATCAGAACCTCCTAGAATCCTAATTATAACTCCAACCAGTCTTGACCACCTCCCTCCCATCTCATCCATCCTTTTGACCCCCACTCACAGCCCCCCAGCGACCAGAATTCTTAATCACTGAAGCTCATGTATACATTATTTTTATATCCCATTTTCACCCCTTAAATTCAACTACAGGATTTGCATAAAAATAAATAAATAAAATACATGTTGGCATATGCACACATGCATATATACACATCAATAATCCCTACCCAATTCATATGACGTTTACAATGTGGCTGTAATTGTGATTTCACTTTGTCAACTGCTAAAGCAAGAGCCTCTATTGTCTCATCCATCCTACCTCATATGACTTAATTTACTGAAGAAAATCTAGGCATCTTAAAATGTCTTAAAATATGACTTGTTTGCTAGTGAGAATTCACCTAATATTGGGAGGACAAAGCATTGAAAGAAGTTGAGCTGCCAGTTGAAGTAAGAGATGTTCACTTTAAATAGTTAAAGCGTCAGTTGGCATGGAAGCAGTGGTAACAGCAGTCTTGAATTTACCTCGGGATAAATAAAGTATCTATCTATCTATCTATCTATCTATCTATCTATCTATCTATCTATCTATCTATCTATCTAACCGTTGAAATGTCAGTATTTGTCAGTTGAAGGGTAAAAATGAGTTGAAAGGTCAGTTAAACTGTCGGTTGAAGAGTAAGAGATGAGATGAATGCACTTCAGTCACCAGTTTAAGTGCAGTGACGAAAGCAGATGAAGTGCCAGAGATAGTTGGAGTATAAATAGTGAAAGTGTCAGTAAATTCAAGAGCTGAAGGAGAGTACATAATGTCATGTATAATAATAGTTACAAACATGGGAATAATAAAATTCAAGCTGATCTTATTAAATTACAGACATTAAGATAAATATAACATACACTACTTGCATTTAAAAATAAAAGATGAATAGTATTCTTATTCAAAGCTGTAACAAAAATAACAGTGAGCCAGTCTACAGACACTGGCTTTCAGAAGTGGTTTAAAAGAAGTCTTTTAAAGAAGGGTTTGTGTATCTCAACTCATGTTCCTTACTCCGGAGCCATGGCGTACACACATTCAGTCGTAAGGATCAGCAGCAAGGCTTAATCTGAGGAACGCATGTAGCATACTGTCTCATAAGCAGCTAAGAGTTCTATAAAGTATAGCAGCCAGACACATGCATTGAAAGAAATCACAGGTAGCCAGCCTTATGATGCCAAATGTCTCATGTTTTAACTCAAAACTTCAGCAAATCAGACTGGGGTGTTATCACTCCCCTCAGCCTTCTATATAGTGCTGAGCTTCCTTTAGGGCTGTAGCTCTGAATGTTTGTCGTCATATTTTATGAAACCATCACCCTTAAAAGAAAAAAGTTCAACAAATCCTCAAATTGAATGAAGTGATTCATTGGATTAAATTAGTTAGTCTTTAGACAAGATTCCTCCCCAGCTCAACAAGCGTGAGAGAGAGAGAAAGAGAGAGAGAGAGAGAGCAAGAGCAGCTGTGGTGGAGCGAACTAGAGAGTGAATGAACAGAGGGATCTGCATTAGCAAGAACAAAGCAGTGAATACAAGACATAATAAAGTTAGCTTCTAATTGTTTTATTAGTTACAACGTTCTAAAGCACAAACAAGCATAGCCACACCTCCACACAACCCTGCAGGGTGTGACACAGGCAGCGCATGGAGGAGAGACAGAGAGAGCGATGTTACTTGGTTGCTATGTTCTTAGCACAATTCGTATGATGATTTAGAATTTAAATGTCAACATTATGAATGAACTATTCTGTACAGCCTTAGCTGCTTTAAGATTAAACTACTCAAATGTTAAACACAATAGGCAATCACCCATGCAATAGTTTCTTTCTTTTACATTTCTGAGCTTCTCAGGTCTCAGCACACAGCTCTCCATTTTGTGGACAACTACAGACTAAGATGGCTGTTCAAACTGTTGAGGCACATCTTAAAGTTTACCTTTTTCAGATCCATTTACCAGAAGATTCGTGAATATGAGGTCCTGGACAAGAGGAAGACAGTAACAGCTCTGAGGGCAGGAGAGGACAGAGCCATACTGCTGGGTCTTAGCATGGTCTTCATCTCTGTCATGATGTACTTTGTCCTGGGAATCACCATACTGCGCTCTTACTCTGACAGGTAATAAGTCACAAGGTCACTTACAGACTGTTGTTCTTTGTTTGTGTGATTATTGATTCAAAACTTGTGTTCAAAACTTATTGATTCCATTCTACATTATTGTTTCAAAACTTGTGTTCATCTGCATATTCACACACAGTGACTAACTACACACTGAAACCATTCCAAGTGTGCTTGTAGCATGCATTGGAAATAACTGCTCATCCTCTACAGTGTATGGACGGATGAGGCTAGCTGCACTATCGTGAACTCTACCATCGTGTGGGATGTAAACTGTTCATACAGCTGTGGAGCAGAGTGCTGGAAGAGTTCCCGTTACCCCTGTCTCCAGGTCTACGTCAGCCTCAACTCCTCAGGAAAGGTGGTACGACTGTTGCACAACGAGGACACCCAGGACAGCAATCCTGAGGTAATCAACTGATAGTGTTGCTCCTGTGTCCTGCTCCCTAATAGTTCTAACTGCTGTCTTTGAAACACATATTTCTCCATGTAGCTTTGTATCTTATACCTAAGTATTGGTAGTTGAGTCTATTACATTGTTTGGACCCCTTAAGCTGATATTTGTGGCAGTATGCAACAGATTTTCTGTATTCTTTCCTTCAGTGCTTCTACACCCCAAAGTGTCGAAAGGACTATGCAGCCACACATGCAATAGTTCAGAACATTTCTGAGCGTCTCAAGTCTCAGCACATTGTCCAGTGTTTCGTGGACCCAAGAGACAGAGCGGACAATGCAATCCTGACACAGATCTACGGCCAGGTCGCAGTCTTTCACTCCCTGTTCTGGCCAACCTTCACCTTGCTTGGAGGAACCATCATCATTGCCATGGTGAAGCTGACCCAGTACCTGTCCATTATGAGTGAGCGACTGAGCCGCATTAACAGGTGAAAGGGAAGGTTCAATTGAAGGGAAGTTCCCTTTAATTGGACACAGGGACAACTGAAGCATCTTCACTGGGCCAAGAGTGAAAGACAATGAGGAGGGACAATTGTTGGTTGTCTGTCTGTGATAGCTGGAATGATGGGATTCAGACATGTCTCAGCAATTATCTGAAAGCAGTCAGACAGACAAGCATATATTTTTGAGACCGGGTCAATATGCAGGTTTGAAGATAAACCCATGTTGGTTTGGAGCCCGACAACAGTTCGGCCTGCTGGTGGTTGACTCCCAGTAACAATCTTTGACTATCAATTTCCTTTTTTTTTGCCAGTCAGTAGGATTTGTACAAATGTGACATGATTTTTTTAAGTACCTATTCTGCGTTCTATAACTTTACAAAGCTAGTTGTTAGAGGAAAAGTTCAACATTTTAGGAAATAACGCTTATCCGCTTTGTTCCCAAGAGTTAGGTGAGAAGATCGATACCACTCGAGCTTCTGTCCATTAGATATGTAGCTATAGCCCGCAGCCGATTAGCTTAGCTTAGCTTAGCACAAAAACTAGAAGGATGGAGGGAAACAGCTAGCCTGGCTCTTTCCAAAGGTAACACAATCTGCCTATACCAGCAACTCTAAAGCTCACTAATTAAGACTATATATCTTGTTTATTTTATGCAGACAAGCTGTTACTAATCCTTGTGCTAAACTACCTTAGCAGGATGCTAGCTGTAGCTTCATATTAAGCATACAGACATTGCATGGTATCAATCTTCTTCAAACTCTCTGCAAGAAAGTGAATGTGTAATGTCGAACTATTAGTTTAGAGAAAGATCTTTTTTAAACTGTAGCCTGGTACCAAAAAGTGCATTTTGGGCTATCTGAGTCCCTAGTGTAATAAGGGCTGCTAAGGCTTTACTGTAGCCTACCTGTGCCTTAGGACTATAGAATTGGCTGTTTGTGTCCTACTGCATGTAGAGACGGTTTACCAACCACTGCTCTGATATTAGAAAGTCTTTATGCTGACTCATTCCATGAGGCTGAAGTGGTTGGTGGCATCCTTCCAGAAGCAGTGTTATGCATACGGTGCATCATGAGGAGCGATTAGGGAAAGCGCCTCCAAAAGGGAAAACCAATAAAACCACTTTACCACTGGGCTTAATCTGGCTGGGCAGTGCTTACTCACAGCTCCACACATCACACCCATGCTGTCTGTGATTGATTTCAAATGTTCTATTCAAACATGTTTTGTTACATGAATGATTGTACTATCAAATAAACACAATGTGCCTGTTGCATCTTGATAATGATGTTTGACCCTTATTATACTTATTTTGATGGTGTCTCAGTTTGATATCATACCATTTGGATTATGTAAACTGTTTTATGATGATTTGACAAGCCCAGTGATTGGCTGGATGGTCTGCATCATCATAGATTGAGGATGCAAGGTTCCTATCAAGTATATATATTATGGGCTCATTTTTCATTCTGAGATCCTTCCTTCATTAAACATTGTTCCCTCATTTTTTAGAATCAGTCTAACTGCTGTGGACCTCCAAAGGGAGCAGGAGCCAATGTTATGATGAAAGGTGTTACAGAAAGAGGAGCGGCTATAGTTGTTGTTGTTGTTGATTTGCTCTTAGAAATGTACTGTAGTTTTGATATTATTTGGAGCTCACTGATCATAAACCAGTGGTTCCAAACCTTTTTCCTAACGAGAGCCCTTTTCTTTCATTGAGTAAACTGATGACCGCTGACTAAGTGATTTTATAGATAGATATTTCATATAATATTTAATGCATACAGAACAACTGATAAACTGTACAATGAGCCCAAACAGTGAGGCTTTGGTGACCCATAGTGGGGGTCCCAACCGATGCCATAAACCATGCAATATCTGTTCCAGTATGCAACATATACAAGTGTGATGTAGAAACTTGAAGCCCCTAAAAGCCCCCGTAAGCTGCCTCCCCCAACTTTCTTTTTAATTATTTTTTAGGATAAAACTGTAAAAATAAAGGAGTTAGTGTTTCTCCTTTATTTATTCAGCACTTCAGTTACCTTACCAAACTACTTAAGTTGGTAAGTAATCAAGTAATTTGTTTTTCTCTCCATAGGTCATTGTCCTACATATGTACATAAGGCTGACAAACTCTGAACCGTGTTTCAGGTTAAACATTTATTCATCATGACAACCTGCCAAATTTCAGTTTGAATTGATTGAACAAGGAAATAAAAAATACATACCCCATATACCCCATGCAGTTGTGATGTGATGTTCCCACTGATAAAGGTCAAATATGTATGTGCGTGTGTGTGTGTGTGTGTGTGTGTGTGTGTGTGTGTGTGTGTGTGTGTGTGTGTATACAATATGTTTGAAGCTGAGTATGTTTATCAGTGTGGCTACAATACTTAGATAAGCTAATCATGAATAATAAATTAATAATTAATTTGACAGCCATGTAATCCCTCTCAACCTGAGCCATAAAACTGATCAGATCATGTGAAAGTTGCGTGCACTGCAGTGTTTCTTCTTCTAGACAAAAACAAACTACGACATTTCTTCAGATACAGCAGGACTAAGGCGGGTTGAACCAACACAGTGAGTGTGAGTGTGTGTCTGCAGCTGGAGCCATGGCACTCAGGTGGATCATTGTGTTCTTTGGCCTGGGACTGGTAGGTGTTTGCATCCATACATTGCATCTCTGGTGCAAAACAGTCATTAATGTTCCCTGGTGATTAATTCATGCTCTAATGTATTTTCTAGGTAGCAGCTAAGCTAACGGGGGATACAGGTGAGTCACATGTTTTTTGTTTTAATTATTGTCAAAAGGTAGACAGAATTACCCTGTCTCACCTATATACCGATGGCAGTGAATGTATGATCCCAATCCACATCTGTTGAAGCAAAATGTATCATGTCTTTCCTTTGTATGATACATTAACACTGATTTCATTTTGCATGATACATTTGTGTGAGAAAACTGCTTTACTGCCTAGAAGTGATAAGATAACATTCCACTGTGAGACTACTTTCTCCTTTCTTGAGCTCGAAGTTGAGATCATTTGCTAACATGTACTCCCAAGACTACAAATATGGGACTATATCTGTGCCTTTTGGTCAGACCTCCAAAATACACTGTGGTGTATGTGTTCTGTCATCTCAGCTGACATAGATTGACTCTGTTACTCCTCTATTATCCTGCTACATCAAACAGACAAAAGACAATTTGTTGTGTCATCGTTCATTTCTCTGTAAGAAAATACACAATTCCCACCACAACATTCATGTACTTAAGTTGTACATTCAGATCAACAGGGTAAGCTGTAACTCAGAATTTCCTGCTTCCCCCATGAGTGTATTTCAGTGTCTAAGGTGTCGGCCACACCTGAAAGAAATCTGTACCTCAATGCTTAAAGGTCTGTCACTCAGAACCACATAGAAGTCCATTTCAAATCTTAAAATAAAGTCACACAGCAGCATTTCCCAATTGAAATGCAAGAATAAATAAGCTTTAAGGCAGGGAGGGCTCAGTGCTAATTGCACCAAGTACACAGTACAATAATAATTATATTAATATGATGCTTTTATACTTCCTCTAATAGTATTTCTAAACAACATATTATTGATTTTACATCAACAGAGACTGATGTTGATGAAGGCCATGACTGGGACATCTTTAACATCAATGAAGGTTTGTGAACTTTTATTTTGTTTTGTTGTATAATAATAATCTGAGGATTTTCATCAACCAGTACATTATTATCCTTTGCAGCGGCGGGGCTGGACCTGCTGGAGGGAGATATCCAACAGGAGGAAGTAAGCTAGAGTGCACAGACAGCAAAGACACCAAAGACCAAAGGCGGCTCCTGCAGTAATCTGCACATTCAGCCTTATTTCGTTATGGCATTGTATTTGTGTCTAAATTCTGGGCACGTGATGTGACCTTTTTGCACACACACAAACTACATTTTACAGTTCTAACATTTTTTTTATATAGCCCAAAATCAAGACTCCAATTGGGGTTCAGGAAAAACTACCACCCCCCAAAAAACCTTTCACCAGGGAAAAAATTTAAGTAACGATCCCTAATTCCCACGGGACACCCAATCAGATTTTTGTTTTCTCAAATTATAGATATGCAAAAATATTTTTCTGCGCTAAAAGTGTCCCATTTGGCATTCCATATTTGAGCAGTATATGCAGGAACTAAAGCGACGTAAATGCATTATGCAATGTAATATTTAATGCAAATTATTATTATTTTCATTTTAAAGTATGATTGTTTTGAAAGACTCAGTGTAAATCCCCAGATAGCAAGTACTTTTATAGAACTCCAAGCTTACAAACAGGAATACCCTTGGAAGGATGGATTACCCTCATTCCTCAAAGGAAATAATAATAATAATAACTAATCAAGGAAAACTATCAATTTAAAACACAGGGTTACAGTTATATCTCTCACGTCAGTCTGTTCAAGTCTGTGCTGTTCATTCCCATCAGACTTCCAGCAGAAACTCCATTTTAGGAGAGAAGTATCGCTGGCCAAAAACCATTCCCTACTACCTAGAGGACAGTCTGGGTAAGACATAGTGTTATGGAAACTCATATCCACTCTACTTACCATGTTATTATGAATACGCACCAAGTTTGGATGCTTTTTCATGTTTCTTCGTCTTACTGTACAACATGTAGACATGAATGCAAAGGGAGTGATCCTGAAGGCATTTGACCAGTACAGACTGAAGACCTGCATTGACTTCACACCATGGAAGGGAGAGGAGAACTACATCTCTGTGTTCAAAGGGAGCGGGTGAGCCAACTCAGAGTATCTCACTATTTTGGTTTTAACAGCCCACAACTTTACCGCTTTGGTTCAGTCTCACTTCTTTAACCAACCCTGTTTCCAGCCCCAGAATGCAGCTGTTTTCAATGAACATGCTCTATATGCAAGCTACCGACAAATAAAGTTAGCAGGTGAACACAGTGGGAGTCCAAAACAGAGTCAAATGGAGAGCACTGGACTTAATAGTTGTTTGCTAACAACAACATAAGGTGATAATAGACCAGTGGTTTGTTTACAGCTTGATCTGCTGTACCCTAGTGGCCAAAAAAATCATTATTACAGCTTTACAGATACCAAAAACATTAAAGTGCAGTATTAAGCCCAAGTATAATAGACTAGTGTATTACTCAAGGTTCATGCATAAATAGCATTCTCTGATACTGAGGCAGGTTCTGAGCCAAAGCTGGAAGAGCTGCAGGTGTATTTGTCATCTTCGGAATGCTGTCCTTTTCTCCAGGGCTGAAAAGTGCATCTCACTTCCCTTCCCTGTAGATGCTTCTCCTCTGTAGGCAATCAGCGTGTGGGGAAACAGCGGCTGTCCATTGGTAATAACTGTGATCGTCTAGGAACCGTGGAGCATGAGTTCCTGCACGCTTTGGGCTTCTGGCACGAGCAGTCTAGAGCTGACCGTGATGACTACGTCAACATCATGTGGGATCGCATTGAACCTGGTAACGCTGACCTGTAACACCTAGAATTACAGCTCAAAACTTAAAGCTGCAGTAGGTCATTTTTATAAAAAAAATAAATAAAATAATTTTTACTGCTGTACAACTGTCAGAATATAGTAACAATTTCAGAAATAACAAAAAAAAGTTATTTTTATAAAAGTTACCTATTGCAGCTTTAAATTAGTGTATATATTGTGAACCGGTGACGCGACCTGCAACTACAACGGTAGATGTTACTAAATCCTACACATACATTCTACAATAAAGGACAAGCTGTATAGTAACTATTATCTTCTATGTTTTTCTCCTCATGCGTGCCTGCTGAATACACTTTTACACAACACAGTAACACAGTGGGCAGTTGCTTATACATTCCATCCATCCTTGTAAATATTATAATATTCCCATTATGCCTTCCTCAGGGAAAGAACACAACTTCAGAACGTACGATGACACAGTGTCCAGTGCTCTGGGCGTTGCCTATGACTACGGCTCTGTAATGCACTACAGTAAGACGTCCTTCAACATCGGCTCTGAGCCCACCATCGTCACCAAGATCCCCCACTTCATGGACGTGATTGGTCAGAGGATGGGGTTCAGCGCCAGTGACCTCACCAAGCTCAACCGTCTCTACAACTGCAGTGAGTCATCGTCACTCAACCAGGTTAACAGGGTTAGCTAACAGAAATGAACTGCTTCAATAAAGTGCTTTTTTCTTAAGAAATCTGTTGAACCAGATTAGAAAGCATCCAGTTCCCTTATTCAGAATGTATGTAGCATTAATTT